ATGACGCAGGGATATCATGTCCTAACTTCAGTACTAACTTGTATATTAACCGCGCGGTTATCAGTTGACTTGTGAGGAAGCATGTTGTCACCGGTGAGGTAAAGGATCAACCAAGACCTGGAAGACAGGGGAAAACCAATGACATTGATGATCAGATCGTCCAATCATGTCCGCATGTGACTGCATGTGGGATATCAATACAGTACCTGGGACACTCAATCATCAGCGTTATCATCAGGAAGTACATTTTGATAACATCCCCTTGTCAGTCGTCTGACCCAACATCTCGCCGTTCTCAAGTCATCACTAGCCATTTGAAGAAGAACAGGGTCAGGGTCGGTCACCCCTTCATCCGATATCTGTTCAAAAGTCTTGTAAAGGTGCATGGCGACACTGGGAAAACCTGGCTTAGGCCGAAGCCTAGGCGCATGTTTGCAATCAGCCGAAAGCGTCGTTGGGTTGAACTTCTGTCAGCCGTTGCATGTTTTCATTGTTCAGTTGCTGTACAATTGTGATGACAGACGAAAGAACAACAATTCTTGTTGCATGTTTATTTCATGTTGGTGTGTTGGCCGCCATGTTCCCTCGCGTTTTTGCGTTTCCTCAACGTTTCCGGTATTTTATGGCCCGATGCATGAGAAATTCATATCTGGTATTCATTTTCAAATTTTATACTTTTGCAACGTATAAATACCTATATTGAGTTGAAAACCACAGGTGTTGGGATACTTTCTTCCATGTGTCCATTAGGATTTCATATTTTGTATGGCCAGTTATTTTGTTATATAGCATTTCACAAGTTGTGAATTTGTGAAAATATGTTTTGTGTTCACCCTGTTTGCATAGCTTGTATTGTGTTTTTGTTTACTTGTCCTATTAGTACATGGATTATTTGAATATTTTTGTATTTAGTTGCCTTTACAATCCCTTTTTCGTTAGTTTCATGTAAGGATAATATATAAACTCAACTGCAAAAGAAGGGCAGGACTTATACGATATTTGAACATGTGTTTTTCAAATACTTCTGAACACAATAGAGAGCATGCAAGCATGGACACAGTGTCGTTTTCAATTTAAGGTAACACTATATATATCCCACTATATTATTAGGATTAAAGTCAGTATCTCAACACAAGCGTTAATGATGGCGACACATCATCTATACACTGAGAGCACCAGGCGGTTGATGAAGGCCATGGCGATCTGGACCCATATGCGTAGAAAAGATGGACTCAGTTCTGTGCAGTTGTCAACCTTGGTTGGAGGTTATCGAAACGTATTTACATCTCGCAGAGGCATGGAGGTGCTGCTGGAGGATGTCCAGTGCCGCCACACACTAACATGTTTGGGCCACCCGTGGGATTCTTTCAAACACACGAACGTCCACAAGCCAGATCCTTACACTGCCATCCGTTGTTGACACACTCTAATGACTTTGTTGATGCTGTGGTGCCGATCCAGTGTGTTCCAAATGATGTTGGTCAGTATAAGGATGAGCACTCTAGCCAGAGACCATATAATAGATCTATACACTGACAACGGGGTGTCGGCCCGGGAAAGCGAAATTTCAATATTCCTTAATCCCGGTATTTTTAAGCGAAAACCAAAGTTGTGCTAGGAGTGCCGCGAAAGCGAATTGCTATGAAAACATCGGATTACCGTACTTCAGATTAGCGCGCGACCCCAATACTCGATCTGTTAGACTCTTAACTGAGATGAAGTTTCAGTTGTTTCAAGTTTCAGCACTTGATCTATGACAAGTTTAAGCATCGGTGTAGGAAAACCCTCCGAGAAAAGAAGTATTGAAGCTGTGTAGTAAAATTTGTTTGTTGTTTGACTTATTTGACTATTTTATTTAATCCACCGTGCAAAGACGGTTGTTCGAGCAGATCTCACTAATTCTCAGTTAACTGGGACAATGGCTGTCGCCGACATTTGATTATGTCGGTAGAGTCAGAATAATTTACGTTACGTTGTGTTTGTTTACAGCTTTTCTTGGGGTAAATCAAGATAATTTTTCTTGATTGGCCTGTTCATCTATTCTCGATATCTAAAAACATATAGTTTCGTTAACATTGATTTTTCTTACAACATGGAAAATATGCTCGACATCAGTAGAGATTTTTTAAGCAAGTAACTCAAAATCTAGCATCCCAGTAATAGTCTTCATCACTGTACATTTGGGTTCCGGCTGTCTGTTGTTATACATGTGCCCCAACCAAGCATTCTGTATTTATTCATCTTGCCATAACATTATTCATTACCAGAACTACTATAATTTACGTTACCGCCCTATTTGGAAATTTGGAAAGTTTCGCGAAACTTTTGTGTTTTGTTGTCTGGCATTGCCGAAATATCAAATGTAAATCAAACTTTGACAAGTGAAAGTAGTTTTAGGTTGTTATGCCCTATATATATAAGTAGCGTAAATTACATTGCGGTAACGTAAATAACGTCAATGAATGCTTAACGATGTAAGTTGTCTATGCACGATATTTTCAACTCCACCTCCACATGATCCATCCATGTGACATATCGGTGAACAGTCTGTGGCTCAAACATTTGTTGTTATTTATATATTAAATTTCTACCATGACTACGGTATCAGACGACGACTCACACTTCTTTGTTTTTCTTGTGTATTGAGAGTCCCTGGAACGCGAAATTCAGTGTTAACTGTAGCTTGACCGTCCCTGCGAAAGCGAACCCTAAATCGAGGAGGTTTAGTCCAGATTTCGCTTTCCCGGGCCATAACCGACAACGGGCAACGAGGTGACGTCGAACTCCGTTGAACACAGATAGTTTGAGAATGGTTTCGCAGAGAAAAAGGTTCTGCAGGTGATGCGGTGATGTCACTAGTCGAGAAGCAGTGATTGGGGAGCAATCGTTGGTTCTATTGGTAGTGGTGAGTCCTTGGTGCTATTGGTATAGTAGTGAGTCATTGCTGCTAACGGTATATTCTTGTAACGTGCACTCTTCCGACAGCGTGTTGTCTCTCGTTGAAGGTTAATCTCATCATCACTTCTGTCTAATGACTGGCATTTGAGGGTAGCTTTTATGCCCATAGGTACCTCATTCTGCACATGAGTAGGTGAAAACTAGGATGTTCGACGCTGTCCCGGCACTGTACTATTAATATGCAAATTCATGCATGACGTCACAGTTCATAAAGTCAAGCACGTATCCGTTGTCACGGAATCATCGTTCTATGACTCATGCTGAATGTCACATGTCAGAAAGGTCAAGCATCTATCCATGTTTTTTTGCATTAACGTCAGCACAATGCAGGGCAGTGAAGACCCATGTACAATGGTTCTTTACTGGAACAGGATGCAAGTTTGGATATAGGATAGTCACGCGGAATGGGATGTCTTTCTGTGTATCTTGAGCTAGAGTTGATCTAAAACTATTTTTTAAAGATATTTCGCTATCTTTAAAATCTGGTATGTTTGTCATATCACCATAGTGCCAAGTTAGGCATGAATTAATGCTTTTTCACATTACATTTACAATGCTTGCCGTCGTTCGTCTATCAATCTGGTAGTGGAATATTATTAAGAGTATTTTCATAATTATGTAAGTACCAGACCTATACGTCATGTGAAACACTGCATAGTAGCAAGAAGCTCGTGTATTCAAGTATTCACTAACACTTGCTTTGACGCTCCAGTTGTATTATGTTCCCTATCTATTTGGTTTAGATGTTTTGACTGTTTTCATGTGTAGGAGTACACCGATAGCTGTGCAGCCAATAGGCTAACAGCCAGCCCAAAGTCATCCACAGGATACAGTTAATTTACATGTTTGTTGTCGGTCTATATTTATTGTAAATGGTGCATCATAACTGATATATGATCACTTACTGTAAGTAGGGTAATAATTACCTGAAAGTGATAATTGTATATGGGTAATTGTTCATTTACACTACTGGACCATGTTCATTGTGTAACTTATATTCGGTTTTGGGATCGAATTATCACGCACGATTAATTGTTTATTTGCTTGTGTGAGATGATTTGGAACACGATTCATCGGGACGTTTATGTACATGTATAAAAAGTGTACTGTGATAATATTGTGTTATTGTTTGGTAAATTTCAAAGTGTCATTACCATTTCCACCCACAACTTAAGATTCACATCCACGGCCTGTGTTGGACATTCTTTTCTCCGCCTACAATACGGCTATATTTAATACACGATCTTCACGTTCTTGATTTACTGGACTGAATTTAACGCTTTAGAAATCCATATAAGCTCAAGATATCTCTTTTACTTGTTTCTGGTAGCATAATCTACCCAACATTTCTCATTTAACTTAATTTACATGTTTCTTTTTAATCTAAATCTATAAAAGTATTTTAAGAAGAAATTTCAAGCTTGACTTTGGTTCATTCAACAAAAGAAAAGGGGTACACACTTTTACAATGAGCGAAATGCTTTTTATAAGAATCGTTGTATTTATCATGAAGGGCAATCACGCGAGGGGGTGTTCGTACGTGTGTTTGGAACCCGTGAAGATCCGGATTAGAATTGGTCTTGCATAGATCGATGCTCATGATGTTGATCACTGGATTGTCTGACTCGACTATTTACAGACCGCCGCTATATTGCTGGTGTATTGCTGAGTGCGGCGTTTAAACAAGTAAGCAACAAACAAGCAAAACGTGTGCTAGGAAGGCGTTTAGATTTCATTTTTGCCCATTTTGGCATCAATACTGTTTTAACGTTTTACGATGGGCAGGGTTTAGTGAGTTTATCGGGAACCGTCTATAGATACTGTTATCTGATTGCGCGTATTCACAGTTGAACCAGTCAAACTATGAAGTCGTTTAGAGTTATTTCCCCCTAGGGTAATTCCAAGAAACAGGCTTAAAAAAGTTGAAGTTGTGGAAAAATTGCTGTGAATGTAAGTGAAATACCCCAGATTCAGCGAGTTACCTTTCATGCACGGTAAAATTATAACCGTCCGGATAATATCATTTATTTATTCATTCATGTCAACAAACATCAGTAAAATGATACTCACTCACTCGTTACCGACTGCACTTGTCAAACTTTGCGACACGGGTAACAGAACCAAAATCCGAGTATGGAAACGTGCCAAGATGAGTCCATTCCGCAGTGCACCGTTTTCATGATCGGAACTCTGATACGGTTGTATGAGATTTGGTTTATATACGAAACGAGCTTACACAGTGACGAATATTTCGTGATAAGGTTACTCGCAAGACACAATGTTCACTCGAACAGTTGTAATCAGGCGAAGGGGAATTATATCGTGAACCGGTTTGGGTTTGAGGTAGTGTATGCCTTGGTAGGAACTTGACGTTTAGCTGGCGAAACTAGGGTTGAGGAATATATGGACTAATGCCGTAGGATAATGCCCTTATTTTAATAATTCTTTATTCCAAAGAATTTCTTAGTTTTAAAAGATTACCGCGTAAACATAATCACGAAAATTATTACACAAATACTTATTGGAATTATCGTAGACCATTCTGTGAATTATATGTTTCAGTTTGTGCACACGCCTGACATCCTTTCATCCAGATTATAAAATTAGTTTCAGTGTAGAATTTATTGTGACTTGTACCCTCTGTTGACTGACATATTGTTCTTAAAACATTGAGTTTCAATTATTCCTACAATAATCAAAGAGTGTTCATATGAAAGATTTATAGATAATTTGGACTGCTTTCCTTGATATATGGTATTTAAACCTCGGACAGTTAATCGTGTGTAAACCTTTCTACAATGCAATCTATTGGAATGTTCTATTGGAACTTTTCCCAAACATTCTGATTCCAGAATGATTTCATTATGCATATCTTTCAGAAATTGTGGTGATTAAAATTTCCTTTAGTAGATCATTTGAGCATGTACACTGTGTCACAGGAACTTAAGCTTGCTGACAGATGACGCATGTTAATGAAACAGACATGAATAACATCCTGGAGCCAACAGAGACATCCATGTCACTCTTCTTCAACCCTTACTTTTAGTTGTGCTTTTTCGACATCCTATCAGAAATTACATCGCCTGTGGACATGAAGCAGCTATTGTGTATCTGAACAGTGCTGAAAGAATTACAATGAAACTATAATGTTAAAAAATAAGTTAATACAATATATACTATGTATAATGTTCCAAATTGAGAGAGAGAGAGAGAGAGAGAGAGAGAGAGAGAGAGAGAGAGAGAGAGAGAGAGAGAGAGAGAGAGAGAGAGAGAGAGAGAGAGAGAGAGAGAGAGAGAGAGAGAGAGAGAGAGAGAGAGAGAGAGAGAGATGCAATCATTCAGCCGTCTACTTAGAATACCAGTGACAAGGCCTAACATGTTCCAGTATTACAGAATTTGATATTTATTTTGGCATACATTGAGGGGCGATGACAAGAAGTAAGTTTTTACAAATGGATGACAAGACATGGTTTCATGCTGTTGGTGAAATATACAAGGCAATGCTTCTCCATCTTACACCATTACTGTGGTGAAATGTGTGTAGATATGGGATTGATTCTAAAAGCAATCTGACCCTGTTACCTTCAGTAACATGACACCTTTGCTTCTCTGATGAGGTGAGCCTGTGCAACCTATATTATGTATTCCCCAAATACAAAATGTTTGTGTGAGGGAAATGCTAAAAATGCTGTGCTAAATTCAATTTTACTGCGTATATTGTCAGAGTGCCGTACACAGCTGATGAATTTTTCTTTCTGTAAAATCAAAGAGCTGTTTTCTTTGTTTTCATGACCAGCTTATCTAGAAGGCAAAATGGATTCAACAGTACTGAAAGCAATGCAGAATGTGCAGCATAAATACAAAGAGAAGCTAGATGAGGCTAAGAAGTTGGAGCCGCCTGCTCCTCCTACACCCTACATTCCTGGTCTGACTGCACGACCACCAGATCCTGTGGTCACAGCTTCACACTCACAAGGTATAGCACACACATTGACAGTTTCCTGGTGTTAACCCAGATTTGCTGTATTATGGCTTTTTCCTTACATCTTCTGCGATAATTTTAGGGCAAAGATCATTTTAGAAATGTGGGCCCTGTATTTATCCCATCCAATGCTCTGAGTGTCATGTGTTTGTTGTATAAAGCGACTCGCTGAAGGGATCTAGGTGTCCCGATCACAGTGCAGTATACAACCTCTCCAGTGGTAGAATGATTTCTACTAAATGAATCTGGCAAAGTTGCATCTACATTTTCCCTGCTTGGCCACTGAGCCAATCATGAGATCTGACATAAAAGGAAGTCAAGGTGCTTGGTGCAGATTCTGCTGAAATTCTAAATATGTATGTTAAATCGCCTAGTAACACTCTTAATTTCAGTGCTACATTAAAGGTCACATGCAACTCAAAACACAACTTTGCAGATTCTGATATCTTTCGGTATGGACCTACAGTAACAAATGATCAAAAATGCAAATTCAACTTATAAAGTTGAAAAATAACGAGAAATCCCTGCGAAATTGGAGTTCAAACAATTCACTAAATTCACCCCAGCTGTGGTGAAAAGTGGTTTCAACAGCTGTGCTGCACTTTACTGTGCTCATAGAGCATGCACAGTCAATAGGTTCGCGCAGTTTGGAAGCGGGATGTCCGGATTATAAGGTCGTGAGCAGGAGTAGTCTAATCTTGGTTGTGTACACAAACAACAAATAGTAAATAATCTACTCGTTATATAAAAGAACCTTGTTAAGGATCTTGATCTACTCAGCTATGTGTCAACTAGTGAACCGTTCGACATTTCAAGATGGAAAACCTTCGCTGGCGGGGAGTACTCGGAGTGGGCTTTGATGTCAGCTATTTTTCTAATGTTCTGTTGATATTTCACAGTCGCGAGCTTTTTACATGTTATGACAGGAGATTACAGATTTAACTGTTTATATAATTTCATTTGACTATTTCAGCACACTATTTTGACTGTCTCAGACCACCTTGAGAAAACATAATTTGGGGCTTTTGTCTCATTTGTTACTTTTGCTATGGGGCTTTTGTCCGAGGGGCTTTTGTCGATGGGGCTTCGGTCTTGTGGGGCTTTTGTCTGTCCACCTTCTTACCGAGTCACTTTCGATACTTAACATCAACGCCATTATTTAGCATTGTTAGAATTTCTAACTGTGATATAGATATGCCTCTGTCACAGACAAAACTCAATGTCTGTGTTATCGACACCTATGTGTCTGCCTGCCTGTCTGCTAATGACAATATGCAATACACAACTTCGATCACTGACCACATGCAATTTGAACTTAACACCTATCAGGCTATACACCATAAACAAAACGCATTGATTTATGGCCCGAGTTCGGTCTCTGTCACATGATGTAATTACACAGACAGGCAGGTGTGATACTTGTACACATGACATGTTATGTTGTCTGTTGATTGCAAAATGTTATGCACAAAAAATGAACATGTATTTACAAAACTCAACATCTCTATACACACAAAGAGTGTATCGGCAAATGGACGAGCCAATGAAAGTCTTTGTTACACATAAGTGCATGCCAACCCGCTCTGACTGGGTTCGGTATCCCGGGTGCTTCATTTTGAGGGAAGTAAACCCAAGTACAAAATATTGCACTTTTGATTTGCGATTGTACGTTTATAATTTTGTTTATTTGTTTTTTCATAATCAGCAATGTATATTATATGTCATGAATAATTGATTCTTGTGTTTTAATTATGTTTGGTTTGTTGCATGTGACCTTTAAAATAACGAAAATCTGTTAGTCTACCGCTTTGCATGTGGCCTCCCACCTGGGTATATCTGTTTATGACTCATTTCATAAGACAAACTGTTGAAGAATCTGAACTCCAGTGAACAACTAAGCACTTTCATTAGAAAACCTGATATCATCACAGGTCAGTGTTGTGTTAGTCAATAGGAATGCAAACACTGTGAATTGTTCATTCATCTGTTTGAGAACAGTTGAGAACCTCACAAGTGATGATTACTTAGGGTATGTATAAATGTTGATACAGTTCCTGCAGGTATATGAGAATCCTACACATCATACAGAACAAGTAGCATGTCACATCTCACAAGAGTTGAAACCAGGTGCTATACAAATTCATTATTATTATTGTTTTTTGACTTATCATGGATATATTGCTGAGTGCTGCAGTTTGACAACAAACAAACGCACAGAATAGTCGAGAATGTGAACAGCAGAAATTGAGATTAACTAGAAGCATGGTACTTTAATCTGGCAGTAGGCTGCAGTACGTTTCACCAGTTTCCAAGTGATGGTATGACAGTGAAAATGCATGGTTCTGTGTAATGGGTTATAGAGTTTTCCAGGAATGGCAGTGAGGGGCTGCTGCTGTTTCAATTACTTTCAGACACTTCCCCACTTTATCTGCATTCTAATCAACTCTATGGACAATTTTAAAGTGACTGGTAATACTACATTGATGGTGTAGTTTTGGTACAATCTGTCCTACTTACTTATCATAAGATAATTCAGATAAGGTTATATTCTGAATCCTGCTGTAGAACAGATCAGGTCATGAAAGTACCAGCTAACATACTCTACCAAGTCCCACTGTATCTGATACTTATGTATTTTCAGCTTCTTTACCAAAGGTGGTTCCAAAAGAACTGGTAGAGGCTTTCTTGAATGGCACTAAACATCCTGTGAGTGCCCTGATGGAGTATGCTTCCATGTTGAGACTGTCACCGACGTTTCAGGAAGTGGCAGTGGAACAGTATTCCTTCACAGCTAAGTTTGCTAATGAATGTCGCGTTGGAACAAATCGCTATCCACAGGGGGTTGGAAAGACAAAGAAAGAAGCCAAGACCAATGCAGCCAAAATAGCTTTCACAATGTTGCTGGGCTTGGATGAAGATGATGTCGACGACAATTCCAGTAAGTAGCAGAATCCTTTCCTTTTTGTGAATGTCAAAGTAGACATCAGTGTGTATTTTTAGGTGAAATTACTGTGTAAACTGTGGTTATATCTTAGGTTTCTGTAACAGTAAAGCATACCGATGTCTGTTTTCAAGTGGCCTCAGTTGGGTACTTGGAACAAAAAACTATAATTACGAAAATGAGGAAAAGTTTTTGCCACAGACTGTAACAGTATCAGGGAAGTTAATTCCTGTAATGACATAAAATGCATTGTCTCACATCATGTTTATTGTCATTAACTGGTTTGTTTAAGGATCTGGAACTGTGGTATATGATGCAATGGGAAGAAAGCTGGTTATGCCTAAAGACTGTGTCTCTAGTTCTGAACATCAGACTGTGTGTTCTTCTGTGAATGACATGCCACGAGGTGCTGCTGCTGCAGCAGTGTCACAAGCATCACCTTCAAGTAAGAGCGGGAGTGTTTATGATGTGGATAAGGCAGAGGAGGAAGGAACAAGTGTGGAAACAAACCCAGTCTCTGCTCTTCAGGTCTTCTGCTCACAGAAAAGAATTCCATTTACTATCATCGTAGATGACAAACAGGGCCCATATGGGTATGTTTACTTTGGTTTAAGCAATGATGAAATTGGATGTCAAGAGATTTAGATTAACTCAAGAAGTTCATGGGTCATGTTGAATTGCTGACAGATAATTTGTGAGTTTAAACTCAATACCTGACTGGATGCCTGTCCTAGGTGCCTTATACCTGTCCTAGGTGCCTTACCCACCTTGCATACTGTAAAACGGAAATATTCTGCACCTCGAAAAATTAGCGTCAGCGTACCCCCAGCCTGTTCTGCGACATATTATTTTTGCGAGAGTAGTAGGCTTTGCAAAAAAACATATTGTGAAGAAGAACAAAGACTCAGCCATTCGTGGATGGAGGGTATCCGGTCCTCTCGATGCAGTAATCAGGAAGTAGGCTAATCCACCAGTAAGCTGTTTTTGCTGGAGCATTTGTTATAGGACATGATAATAATATGTATGGTCGTCTACTTCGCCATATCAGTGGCTTTCCGCTTGGTAACGTGATACAACAGCAGGAAATACCTCCGTTTTGGAACCTTAGTACGAATAACATGTGAGGCATTTCGTTTGATGGCGGGTATCGTTCGAAAGCTCTGAGCATCAACAATATCACTGTACCCTTGCCAGGAGTATTTTCGCAGTTATAAGAAGCGATTTTATTGGATAAAGATTGGTTTGTAATGACGCTTTTCTGCCACAGTCTGCTATGAGGATCGTGTTTGCACGTGACCTAAGGCAGCTAATCAAATAACAGCAATGGATACTGTCCTCGTAAATGAAACTTAGATTCAGAGTTAGAAAGTTTTGGGTAAGAATATTGCCATTCTGAACCTGTTACGCAAGAAAAATACCACCTATAGGTATATTATGAAACTTAATGGACTTATTGTGCTAGGTTATGACCTGTGACAAAAATGCTTCATGCATATATTTTAGCATTAAACATCGTGTCCGAGCGCTAATTTCGAGGTGACAAAAGCCGAGATGTCACTTGAATTACTTTACACGATCGCACAAAAAAAGATGGAAATAGTAAGTTCTAATGTACGTTTGACCACTATTTTCAGTACTGTTATTAATTTTATTCTTCAGTTTATTCAATTTGTTTAATTATTATCTCGAAACATCGTTACTTTGCTCTTTGACTACTGTAGGGAAGGGGGTTAGAATGAAAACTGAATACATGACTGGATGTCTGTCCTAGGTGCCTTACCCAGCTTGCAGGATCTCACCGTGTAGGGAAGGGGTTAGAATGAAAACTGAATACATGACTGGATGTCTGTCCTAGGTGCCTTACCCAGCTTGCAGGATCTCACCATATAGGGTATTGGGTTAGAGTGAAAACTGAATACATGACTGGATGTCTGTCCTAGGTGCCTTACCCAGATTATGGATCTCACCGTGTAGGAAAGGGGTTAGAATGAAAACTGAATACATGACTGGATGTCTGTCCTAGGTGCCTTACCCAGCTTGCAGGATCTCACCGTGTAGGGTTAGGGGTTAGAGTGAAAACTGAATACATGACTGGATGTCTGTCCTAGGTGCCTTACCCAGATTGCAGGATCTCACCGTGTAGGGAAGGGGTTAGAGTGAAAACTGAATACATGACTGGATGTCTGTCCTAGGTGCCTTACCCAGCTTGCAGGATCTCACCGTGTAGGGAAGGGGTTAGAATGAAAACTGAATACATGACTGGATGTCTGTCCTAGGTGCCTTACCCAGCTTGCAGGATCTCACCGTGTAGGGAAGGGGTTAGAATGAAAACTGAATACATGACTGGATGTCTGTCCTAGGTGCCTTACCCAGCTTGCAGGATCTCACCGTGTAGGGAAGGGGTTAGAATGAAAACTGAATACATGACTGGATGTCTGTCCTAGGTGCCTTACCCAGATTGCAGGATTTCACCGTGTAGGGAAGAGGGTTACAATTAAAACTGAATACATGACTGGATGTCTGTCCTAGGTGCCTTACCCAGATTGCAGGATTTCACCGTGTAGGGAAGGGGGTTACAATGAAAACTGAATACATGACTGGATGTCTGTCCTAGGTGCCTTACCCAGATTGCAGGATCTCACCGTGTAGGGAAGGGGTTAGAATGAAAACTGAATACATGACTGGATGTCTGTCCTAGGTGCCTTACCCAGCTTGCAGGATCTCACCGTGTAGGGAAGGGGTTAGAATGAAAACTGAATACATGACTGGATGTCTGTCCTAGGTGCCTTACCCAGCTTGCAGGATCTCACCGTGTAGGGAAGGGGTTAGAATGAAAACTGAATACATGACTGGATGTCTGTCCTAGGTGCCTTACCCAGCTTGCAGGATCTCACCGTGTAGGGAAGGGGTTAGAATGAAAACTGAATACATGACTGGATGTCTGTCCTAGGTGCCTTACCCAGCTTGCAGGATCTCACCGTGTAGGGAAGGGGTTAGAATGAAAACTTAATACATGACTTGATGTCTGTCCTAGGTGCCTTACCCAGCTTGCAGGATCCCACCGTGTAGGGAAGGGGTTAGAATGAAAACTGAATACATGACTGGATGTCTGTCCTAGGTGCCTTACCCAGCTTGCAGGATCTCACCGTGTAGGGAAGGGGTTAGAGTGAAAACTGAATACATGACTGGATGTCTGTCCTAGGTGCCTTACCCAGCTTGCAGGATCTCACCGTGTAGGGAAGGGGTTAGAATGAAAACTGAATACATGACTGGATGTCTGTCCTAGGTGCCTTACCCAGCTTGCAGGATCTCACCATATAGGGTATTGGGTTAGAGTGAAAACTGAATACATGACTGGATGTCTGTCCTAGGTGCCTTACCCAGCTTGCAGGATCTCACCGTGAAGGAAAGGGGTTAGAATGAAAACTGAATACATGACTGGATGTCTGTCCTAGGTGCCTTACCCAGCTTGCAGGATCTCACCGTGTAGGTTAGGGGTTAGAATGAAACCTGAATACATGACTGGATGTCTGTCCTAGGTGCCTTACCCAGATTGCAGGATTTCACCGTGTAGGGAAGGGGGTTACAATGAAAACTGAATACATGACTGGATGTCTGTCCTAGGTGCCTTACCCAGATTGCAGGATCTCACCGTGTAGGGAAGGGGTTAGAATGAAAACTGAATACATGACTGGATGTCTGTCCTAGGTGCCTTACCCAGCTTGCAGGATCTCACCGTGTAGGGAAGGGTTAGAATGAAAACTGAATACATGACTGGATGTCTGTCCTAGGTGCCTTACCCAGCTTGCAGGATCTCACCGTGTAGGGAAGGGGTTAGAATGAAAACTGAATACATGACTGGATGTCTGTCCTAGGTGCCTTACCCAGCTTGCAGGATCTCACCGTGTAGGGAAGGGGTTAGAATGAAAACTGAATACATGACTGGATGTCTGTCCTAGTTGCCTTACCCAGCTTGCAGGGATCTCACCGTGTAGGGAAGGGGTTAGAATGAAAACTGAATACATGACTGGATGTCTGTCCTAGGTGCCTTACCCAGCTTGCAGGATCTCACCGTGTGTAGGGAAGGGGTTAGAATGAAAACTTAATACCTGACTGGATGTCTGTCCTAGGTGCCTTACCCAGCTTGCAGGCCCACCGTGTAGGGAAGGGGTTAGAATGAAAACTGAATACATGACTGGATGTCTGTCCTAGGTGCCTTACCCAGCTTGCAGGATCTCACCGTGTAGGGAAGGGGTTAGAGTGAAAACTGAATACATGACTGGATGTCTGTCCTAGGTGCCTTACCCAGCTTGCAGGATCTCACCGTGTAGGGAAGGGGTTAGAATGAAAACTGAATACATGACTGGATGTCTGTCCTAGGTGCCTTACCCAGCTTGCAGGATCTCACCATATAGGGTATTGGGTTAGAGTGAAAACTGAATACATGACTGGATGTCTGTCCTAGGTGCCTTACCCAGCTTGCAGGATCTCACCGTGAAGGAAAGGGGGTTAGAATGAAAACTGAATACATGACTGGATGTCTGTCCTAGGTGCCTTACCCAGCTTGCAGGATCTCACCATGTAGGGTTAGGGGTTAGAGTGAAACCTGAATACATGACTGGATGTCTGTCCTAGGTGCCTTACCCAGATTGCAGGATTTCACCGTGTAGGGAAGGGGGTTACAATGAAAACTGAATACATGACTGGATGTCTGTCCTAGGTGCCTTACCCAGATTGCAGGATCTCACCGTGTAGGGAAGGGGTTAGAATGAAAACTGAATACATGACTGGATGTCTGTCCTAGGTGCCTTACCCAGCTTGCAGGATCTCACCGTGTAGGGAAGGGGTTAGAATGAAAACTGAATACATGACTGGATGTCTGTCCTAGGTGCCTTACCCAGCTTGCAGGATCTCACCGTGTAGGGAAGGGGTTAGAATGAAAACTGAATACATGACTGGATGTCTGTCCTAGGTGCCTTACCCAGCTTGCAGGATCTCACCGTGTAGGGAAGGGGTTAGAATGAAAACTGAATACATGACTGGATGTCTGTCCTAGGTGCCTTACCCAGCTTGCAGGATCTCACCGTAGGGAAGGGGTTAGAATGAAAACTGAATACATGACTGGATGTCTGTCCTAGGTGCCTTACCCAGCTTGCAGGATCTCACCGTGTAGGGAAGGGGTTAGAATGAAAACTGAATACATGACTGGATGTCTGTCCTAGGTGCCTTACCCAGCTTGCAGGCCCACACCGTGTAGGGAAGGGGTTAGAATGAAAACTGAATACATGACTGGATGTCTGTCCTAGGTGCCTTACCCAGCTTGCAGGATCTCACCGTGTAGGGAAGGGGTTAGAATGAAAACTGAATACATGACTGGATGTCTGTCCTAGGTGCCTTACCCAGCTTGCAGGATCTCACCGTGTAGGGAAGGGGTTAGAATGAAAACTGAATACATGACTGGATGTCTGTCCTAGGTGCCTTACCCAGCTTGCAGTATCTCACCATATAGGGTATTGGGTTAGAGTGAAAACTGAATACATGACTGGATGTCTGTCCTAGGTGCCTTACCCAGCTTGCAGGATCTCACCGTGAA